AAACCCTGTCTCGGAACCCCCCCCCAAAAAAAGTCCTGATGCAATAATAATGGGTGATTTTAGTTTCTAACTCTCATCCTTAGATAAGTCATCCAAACTAAAATTCACCAAAGACTCCTTAGATTTAGATACATTCAGCATGCACATTTTCTCAGCAGCTGTGGAACCTCAAAAATAGATCATAGACTGTGTTGCAGTCAACAAAGCTGAAAGGACTTGAGGATTTGAAGAGCGCTTTGACATCAGACATAGAGATGCAGAGTTTGGAGTTTGCACAGCTGGTTTTCAGTCTTCTTTGGTCCAGTGTTTCCTCACCATGCTCCCTTTTCTCCATTTTGCAACAGTAATGTATATCTTGTGCCACTGTATGTTGGACGTATGTGATGTTTTTTTATTTTTATTTTATAAGGGATTGCATGGATTTCAGAAGAGACTTGAACTTTAAAACACTTGTTGCGACTATGGGGACTTTTGAAGTTGGACTGAATGCATTTTTGTAGTACTTTATGGTTACAAGCCTATGGGGGCCAAGGAGTGAAATGTGATGGGTGGGTGACTGATCCCCACAGGACCCCGGCCTTGGAATAGTGCTGCCCTAAGTTAAGGTGGGTCTTTCTACCTCAATTAAGCTAATTTAGATAATCCTTCACAGTCACGTCTAGAGGCTTGCATTCTGGGTGATTCTAGATCCTGTCAAATTGAGAATCAATATTAAACATCATAGCTCCACCTCTCATTCACTTGACACACAAACACATCATGTACTTTTTAGATTTAGATTTATCTTCTATGCATGAATATTTTGCATGTATGTGTGTATGTATATATGTATGTGCTTTATGTGTGTGCTCTAAATGACTGCCACATCTGTCCAGGCCCCACAAGCACGCACCTTATACTTGGCATTGTGCAGTTCGCCTTTAACGGCCGAGCCACCTCTTCAGCCTAACACATCACTTCCCCCTGGGTTTTGAGACAGGGTTTCTCTGTGTAGCCCTGGCTGTCCTGGAACTTGCTCAGTAGACCAGGCTGGCCCCAAACTCACAGAGATCCACCTGCTGCCTCTGTTTATCAAGTGCTGGGATTAAACGTGAGCACCAACACTACCTGGCCCAACACATCACTTTAAAGAGATAAGATTTCACTGGGCAGTGGTGGCACACACATTCAATCCCAACACTCTAGAGGCAGAGACAGGTGGATCTTTGTGAGTCTGAGGCCAGCCTGGTCTACAGAGCGAGTTCTAGGACAGGCTCCAAAGCTACACAGAGAAACCCTGTCTCAAAAAAAAGAAAGACAATATTTCTCTTCTTGTCCTTATAGATTCATGACCATTTCATAATGCAAAATGTATTCAGTCCAAGTCCAAAAGTAATCATAGTCTTTAACACTTCCAATATGCTAAAATGTCAAAATCTCTTCTGAGATTCAAGGCAATGTCTTAACTGTGTCCTATAACACCAAAAATAATTTACATGGCTCCCACATATAAAGGCAGAAAGTAAACATTCATGTTCTAGAAGGGAAGATGTTGTGGGATATTTGTATACTGTGTGAATATGTATTGCGGTGATTGGTGTGATTGGTGTAAGAAAGAACTGAATGGCCAATAGCTAGGAAGGAAGTATAGGCAGAGCTTCCGGAGACAGAGGGGAAGACGAATGGTGGAGATTCCAGGAGATGTAGAGCTAGCAGGATATATAGGAGGAAAGGTAACAGACCGAAGCCATGTGGCAGAACATATGTTATTATAAATGGGTAATTTAACTTATAAGAACAAGTTAGAAACAAGCCTATGCTATAGGCCGAGCTTTCATAATTAATAAGAGGTCTCTGTGTTATTATTTGGGAGCTGGTAGGGCAGAAAAACACTTGTTACAGGAAGAATTAGTGTATAACAAGGAATTATGGGACAAAATAAAGGATAAAACACAACAGGCAAACATAAAACTCTATAAACCCATGTTTAACACCTGGGAATTATGGTAGAATCATCTGGTCTCCAAAGAGTTTTGGTAGTTCCACCCCTCAAGCTTTGATGCCTACAGCATACATAGCCTCTCTTGTGGACCAGGACCACTCAACGGGTCTACTGGAACCAGAGTTACAAATGTTTGTGAACCACTGTGTGGGTGCTGGGAACCAACAATGCATCTGCAAAAGCAACACAGGCTCATAATGGCTGAGCCATCACTTCAGTCCTGCCTTTTAATATATTTTAAAGATAGACTTGAACTTATAGCTATAATATTAACATGTGGGTCTCAGTGGGCAAACGCACCTGCCCCCAAGCCTGAGTTTGAGCTCTTGGATCCACATGGTAAAAGGAGAGAACTGACTACTGAAAGTTGTCTCCTGACCTCCACACACATGTCATGGCATGCACACATCAACACAAAATAAATAACTAAAAACTTACATTTTTTTTGGGTTTTTCGAGACAGGGTTTCTCTGTGGCTTTGGAGGCTGTCCTGGAACTAGCTCTTGTAGACCAGGCTGGCCTCGAACTCACAGAGATCCGCCTGCCTCTGCCTCCCAAGTGCTGGGATTAAAGGCGTGCGCCACCAACGCCCGGCAAAACTTACTTTTTTTTTTTCTTAAAAGATATAGCACTATTGCTCCTGCCTTCCTCCTCCAAAAGCAGGGTTAACAAGGTTTTTATCTTGTCCAATTTAAACTAAGAAAATGGAGGTCATCTAAAAACTAAAACCTGCTCAAAAACCTTATAATAGCCGGTCATTGGTGGCCACGCCTTTAATCCCATCACTCGGGAGGCAGCGGCAGTCTGATTTCTGTGAGTTCGAGGCCAACCTGGTCTACAGAGGGAGTTCCAGGACAACCTCCAAAGCCATACAAAGAAACCCTGTCTCGAAAAACCAATAAAAAATAGTTAATCCATGTGCCCTTTAGTTCATCACATAAGCAAAGTTTTAAAATAGAAAGTATAAATAAATAAATTTGTAGTCAAGATGTTATTTGGTTAGTCATTACCTCAACTCTGATCCCGTAAGAGGTCTAAAATAGTCCTTATTGTATAGATAGATTAATTTGTTCCTAGGGCATGATGAGTCCTGTCCAGGGTAAAGCCTCACCCTCATGGACAAATGCCTTCATCTGCAAGATGATCTTCTAGTCTCTGCTAGTCATAGAATCCAAAGATAAGGACAATGACTTAGCCTATGCTTTCAGTTTTATTTAATTAATATGCTTCAAATGATCTTAAGTTTTATCAAACTAAGTGTGTCAGGATTCTAATTAAAAAATACGAGTTTTGAGAGAGTCAATATTTATTTAAAGCTCTGTCTGTGTCAAGCTTTATGTAAGTGTTATACAGCAATTAAATTTATTTTTTGTATTTATTACATCCCGACTGCAGTTTCCCTCCCCTCCTCTCCTCTGAGTCCCTCATCCTGGCCCTCCTTACCCCCTCCATCCATTCTTCCCCTGTTTCTCTTCAGAAAAGGGTAGGCCTCTCATGGATATCAACCAACCATGACGTAGCAAGTTGCAGTGAGACTCGGTACCTCCTCTCTTATAAGGGAATCAAATTTATTTTTATTATTTTAAAATTGTGTGTGTGTGTGTGTGTGTGTGTGTGTGTGTGCTGGTGTGGGAGGGTGGCTGCTGGGGCCATGAGGGTTGGATACCCATGGATCTGGAATAATAGGTGGTTGTGAGCCACCTGGTGCGGGCACTGGGAAGTCCAATCAATTATTCAATACTGATGATACTATTGACTTTTTTGGGTGTTCCATAAGCACACTTGGAGGTCAAAGGCAATGAAGATATAGGGACTAAAAATACAGCCAATGTTTTGGTCAGTTATATGCCAGGGTATGATGGAGTATCTCTCAAGATGCTCTGACAAATCACCCATCCTCTTGATCAAAGAATCTGTGGAGCCCTAGAAGTTGGACTCTACCCGTATACATTCCAAAAAGTGGAAGTTGGGAACAGAGGCAAATTGTTCTCAAAACTATCAAGGGAAGCCACATGCTCAGCAAGACCATGACCCACCCCAGTAGATGACACAACTAGTCAGGAAGGAAGAGTAAAGGAGCAAATTCATTCACTACTAATTTTATTGAGACAGGGTCTTATGTAGCCATGTCTGGCCTGAAACTCACTATGTAGACTGGATTTGAACTCACAAAGAGCCCCCTGCCTCTGTCTCCTGAGCACTTGGATTAAAGGTGGTCACCACCATGCCTGGCTCAGTTTTCATTTTTGGAGACAGAGTTTCAGTCTGTAGCCCTGGCTCTCCTGGAACTCACTGTGTAGACCAGGCTAGCTCGCCAAGACTTAAAGCAATTTAAACTGCAGCTTTCTAAACCCTATAACATTCAGTTTTCACTTTAATTTGAATTTACTTCAAATTAATTGTATTTAGTAAGTTCTATCACTTAATTAGAAAGAATGACAATTTTCACATTATGTAACCATTTCAAAACACATGCAGAGGTTTGTGAAGTCTAGGATGACCAGTGGTACTCCTAAATGTGAAATCAAACCAAGATCCACATTGTTGTTAAGGGGACACACTATTATATGTTATTATTAGGTTTCCATATCTTACAAGAATATGTTTCTATTTCCTAAGCCTAATGTATCCTGCAGACCATTTTTTCAGTGTAGCCTGAACTTGTGATCCCATGATGTATACCCACCACTTTGCCTTGCTAAACTCCTGAACTTGTGATATATGACTGCCCTTTGCCTTATGAAATGTATCTTCCCAGATACCTTGATGACTCCCCTTTTGCGTGATGTGTTCTTGCAATTATCTACCCCACAGGCATCCTTCAACCCTGAGTCCCCCACTCTTCTGTCCAGGTGCTAACAGCCAATTATCTCAACAGATGTTTTCTACCAACCCTAAGCCTCCCCCATAAAAGGGACCTCGAAAGTTGGTGAGGGGCTGCTCTCTGAAATTCCAACTTTGGAAGAGGCAGCCAACTGGCCAGTCTAAATAAAGTTTGATTGATCAGACAGCTGTGGAAATGGTGTCTTCTCAGGTCTAACACTGTCTACACAAGGAAGGAAGCAATCCTGAACACACAGTGGAGTGCCTTCCCCCTTCCCCTTCTCCTCTCCTCCGCTTCTGGACAGGAATAAAGAGAACACCACTTAGAAGGTGACCTCTGCCTTCCTCTCAAGCCATGATGACCTCTCTAACTTTACCATAGATATGTTGCTACCGCCTTATTCTGCAAGCACTCCTCTCAAGGTTCGTGTATTCTTTCCCCTCTATTTTCTCTACACTGGGTAGACTCCCTCTCCTGGTTCCTTCACTGGTATTTTGCTCCTTTTAAAATGTGGTACTGAGGACAGATAGAAAGACTAGGGAACCATAGTGATGAAGGAAGAGAAGTATGGGAGAGGGAAGAGCCTCTGTTTCCAGGATTTGTTCTGCCTCTTCTGCTGAGAAAAGAAACTTCAACTCTGGAGGCAAGAGGCAAGCTGGTGTGAGTTCAATACCACCCTTGCCTACAGAGTGAGTTCCAGGACAGCCAAGGCTACACATAGAAACCCTATCTCAAGCTGGGCGTTGGTGGTGCACGCCTTTAATCCCAGCACTCGGGAGGCAGAGGCAGGCAGATCTCTGTGAGTTCGAGGCCAGCCTGGTCTACAGAGCGAGTTCCAGGACAGCCTCCAAAACAATACAGAGAAACCCTGTCTTGAAAAAAACAAACAAAAAAAGAAACCCTGTCTCAAAACACCAAAAACTAAACAAACAAAAAACCTCCAAATACGAAAAAAAAGGAAACTTCAGATGTTACCGATAAATCTCAAATGGCCCATGGGCAGTAAGTAAACTGTGCTTACTTGGGACAAAATGATGTACGATTTTGAATTTCTAGTATTCTCCTCTCATTTCTAAATCTAAACAACCTCCTGCCCCCATTCATCTTACAACATTGTTTACTGAAGGAAATTCTACAGCTTTTGTGTATGTCTGGGAGGGCACAAATGCCAAGGGTAACTGTGGGATTGGTTCTCTCCTTTCACCTTCTCATGGATCTTGAACTTAAGTCTTGTAGCCTTTACCCACTGAGCCATCTCACAGACATGTCCACAAGTCCCACTTTAAAATATCCTCTCTCAAACTGGACATGTACTGCACACCTTTAATGCCAGTACTTGGGAGGTATAGGAAGTTTGAGTTTGAGGCCAGCTTGGTCTACAGAGCTAACATTCCAGAACAGCCAGTGCTACACAGAGAGACATTGTCTCAAAAAAAAACCATAAAAGTTAATCAAATAAAATATCTCCTCCCTTGATAGAGCAGTTAGACCACACCTAACTTATTTTTTATAATAATTTTTTTTTCTGGAGCTAGAGAGTTGGCTCAGCAGTTAAGAATACTGGCTGCTGCCGGGCGTTGGTGGTGCACGCCTTTAATCCCAGTACTCGGGAGGCAGAGGCAGGTGGATCTCTGTGAGTTCGAGGCCAGCCTGGTCTACAGAGCGAGTTCCAGGACAGCCTCCAAAGCCATAGACAAACCCTGTCTCGAAAAACCAAAAAAAAAAAAAAAAAAAAAGAATACTGGCTGCTCTTCCAGAAGACCTGGATTCAATTCCCAACACCCTCATGGCAGCTCACAACCATCTGTAACTTGAGTTCCAAGGGATCTGTTGCCCTGTTCTGGCTTCCATAGGCAACAATCACACACATGGTACACAAGCATACATACAGCCAAAAAAAGTCATATATATTTTATTATATATGTATATATAATAAGATAATAAATAGAAATTAAAATTTTTCTTTTCTTTCTTTCATTTTTCAAGACAGGATTTCTCTGTGTAGCCTTGGTTTTCCTGGAACTTGCTTTGTAGATCACACTGGTCTCAAACTCAAGAGATCCACCTGACTCTGCCTCCCAAGTGCTAGGATTAAATAAATATACCACCACCACCACTAGTCTTAAAATATTTCTTTCTTTTTTTATGTGTATGGGTGTGTTGCCTACATATATGTCTGTCTGTGTACCATGCCCATGTAGTGTCTGCAGAGGCTGGACAAAGGCGTCAGATCTCTTGGGGATACCATTATAGAGGGCTGTGAGCTGCTATGTAGATGCTGAGATTCAAACCTGGGTCCTTTGGAAGAGCAGTCAATACTCTTAACTGCTGAGCCAGGTCTTCAGTCCCATTTAATGTAATTGTTGAGATAGGGTCTTACTAAGTTGTTTGACCTGGTCTTGAATTTATTCTGTATCCCAGGCTGATCTGGAAGTTACAGTAGTCTTCTTTCAGCCTCCTGAGTAGCTGGAATTACTGACTTGTGCAATGGGGCCCAGCCTTTTTTTTTATATAGGAAAAGAAAATGGCAACAAAAAATTAGGGACATTCCCCTGAGTGAGTAGAATAATTAGCAGTACTGTAGTAGTAAATTCACCTTATAATAGTAAAAAATGACATCTATTGTGGGGATTTAACATTATAATGAGACATGTCACACATGATAAGAGAGTGAGTGAAGGCTCAGATGAACTCTACATCTACATATGAAGGTTCCAAGAACTAGGTCCTTCCTACTTGGGAAAAACTGTAAAATCTTTCTTTTTCTCATTTGAGACAGCTTTGGAACATGCTTTTTATCCCTTGAACTGGATCATAAGAATAAAAGGCCTTGTTCCCTCCTGTGAACTGTGCCTTTGCCTGATTCTTCTGATAGAGAGCATAAGAACCCCAAGATACAGTGTGAACTCGAAACCCAGACACCTGCTAAAAGAAGCCTGTGAATGTCTAATTAAAAGACTAGACTTAATGGGACAGAAAAGCTCCGCTTACAGCCAATAGCTACAATCCCAGCACTAGGGAAGGAAGCATCAAAGAAAGATGAGAGGTCACAAGATGAAGGCAGGAGCAGGTAACTGTCTTAAAAACCAAAAGAAGAAATGTAAGAAAGAAAGTGCAAAGGAAAGAAAGAAAACATGGTTTGCTGTTCATTTTCATCATAGTATGCTTGTAATGTTTTTTTTTTCTTTCTATCAGCAGTGTGCTGGAAAACACACGTTATTTATACCAGAGGCTGTTAGCATTGTATCACTTTGGCTATTATCCTTTATGGTGGTTTTGGAGATTGAGGGAGAGTCAAGTTTCTTTCCTAGCAGTTCTGGCCCAATTAGAGGGTACGTTATTGTCTTGACTCTGCTCTTGATCAGTTTGTCTCTCTCTCTCTTTTAGATTAGGATATAACTCGGTGCCCACGGGAAGGGAATTCCTTTTGCTTCGCTAAAATCTGCACATCACAGACCTACTGAGTGCAGCACCTAAGTCGAGCTTCTTGGCAGTTTGCCTTGGGGAGGGAGGCTTCTACCCGTGAACGCCCCTCTTGCCCCGCCTTCTGTGAACAGCGACCTGTACGGAATAGGTGTCAAGATGGCCGCTCTCGCGGAGGGCGCGGCCATGCTGGTCTCCTGACAACGTCACCACAGCTAAAAGTCTCTGCAGATCCCTAACTGCTCCTTGTTCAGTGCGAATACACTGTAACCATTCAGCCCTTATGCTTGTGTGCAAAATCAAAGGCTCTAGAAGGTGCAATATCGGGGCAAGGGCAGGAAATGGAAATGCGGTTGAAGTCTCTTGGCGCGCAGCGCTGAAGTGAGTGCTAGAGGGTTTATGGCGTGACAGTCACTCAGCTGATCTTCAAATGATGGCTTTGTTGCATTTGTGTGTGTGTGTGTGTGTGTGTGTGTGTGTGTGTGTTTGAGGGGGGTGAGACACTGCCAGTTTTTGGTCACATTGATGGTGAATGAAAGGGAATGGAAGTCTGTGGGGGTCAGGAATAAGGACCTCTGGGGTGTTCACTTTCCCTTCAAGCATCTTGACAGTGTGTCTGGATTCTTCTTCATCAGTCTCTACAGAAGCATACTAATTTTATGACTTGGTCCAAATAACAAATATTTGGCTTTGTTGATTCTCTTTGATGTGCTCTTTGTGTCCTACACCTGTACGGAATAGGTGTCAAGGGCAGCCATCTTGACACCTAATCCGTACAGGTCGCTGTTCACAGAAGGCGGGGCAAGAGGGGCGTTCACGGGTAGAAGCCTCCCTCCCCAAGGCAAGCTGCCAAGAAGCTCGATTTAGGCGCTGCACTCAGTAGGTCTGTGATGTGCAGAGTTTAGCGAAGCAAAAGGAATTCCCTACCCGTGGGAATCCCCCCCCCCCGTCCTCCCTTCCTCCCTCCCTTTTTGAGACAGGTTCTCAGTGTTATCATGTCTGGCAAGTCTCTATTTTCCGTTTCACTAAATTTTGACTATTAGCTGTACTATTTTATCTTTTGTTAACTTATACATTGAGTGTCAATTCATTAATGTTCAGCCCTTATTTAAAACAACAGCAACACATCTGCTTGAAGCTTGCTCGCCTACAATATCAACACTTTGGAGGCTAAGGCAGGAGGATTGCTACAAGTATGGCCAACCTGAGCTACACAGTGAGATACAACAAAATCTCTCTGGCAGTATACATCATCATATTATCATTGACCTTTTTGGCCAATCTTATTGACTGATCTTTTTAAAAATTTTATTTCTGTAGAGAGGGGCGCTCCTGCCAAGAGGCAGATGTGGAGGTCAGAGGCCAACCTTGCTGAATTGGTTCTCTCCTTCCATGTTTACATGGGCGTCAAGATTGAACTCAAGTTGTCAGGCTTTTGTATTCTCACCTACCCTGGTTGATTTTTTGATGTTTTTGAGAGGGTTGACTATTATTGTTATTGTTGTTGTCATGGAGTTTTGCTAGCCTACTGGTTCAAGTGATACTCCTGTGTCTCAGCTTCCCATGTAGGTAGAACTCCACGAGAGTCACAGAACACTGAGTGTTACACAGCTCAGATGGAAAGGTATCCTGGAACTCGGGAGCCAAGGACTACCACAAGTCACAGTAAGCATAGCAGTTTACAGCCTTGCCTCAGGGAGAGGCTGCCCCAGCGAATCAGCTCTGCTCTGGCAGCAAAGTGGTTACAGTTCAGCTCAGGTCCTTGGAGGGTAACAACTCCAAGGTAG